TTTCATTTAAACAAATTCAGCTCAGATCAATAGAAAGTGTTTTAGAATCAGTAGAGTTCATATCATATATATATATATATATATATATATATGAATAATGTTTCCTCTGCTCAGTTATTATAATCAGTCTTTAGGAGCTGATAGAAAGACGTGACACTGAACTATTATGGGATGTGTTGTCAGAGGGCATGTTGACCCGGTTTGTTGTTGACACATTACACAGAAAGCTGGAAACCTTCAGCGACCGTGTTCCCAAAACACAGTGACCCTGAACCAGGTCAACGGATCCTCAGAGAGTCAGACGTCCACACGCCTCCGTCCAACGTGTCCGACGTGTCCAACGTGTCCAACGTGTCCGACGTGTCCAACGTGTCCAACGTCTCCAGCGTGTCCGACGTGTCCGACGTGTCTGACGTCTCCAGCGTCTCCAACGTGTCTCAGAGATAGATGATGTGACCCGAGGGTTACGCAACACATCCAGCTAATTGATGTTCATTTAAGATAAGTGATGATGGAGACGGGGATCAGCCGCTTGTACGGATCAAAAAAGACATAAACATTTATAACAAATAATGTTTGAATGATTTGCTTTTAGAAATCAGGTTTCAGTAAAGTCAGTTCACATGTTTCCAGCCTCTCCTCTCTCCTCTCCTCTCCTCATCTCTCCTCTCTCCTCTCTCCTCTCCTCATCTCTCCTCTCCCATCTCTCCTCATCTCTCCTCTCTCCTCTCTTCTCTCCTCTCTCCTCTCTCCTCTCCTCATCTCTCCTCTCCCCTCTCTCCTCATCTCTCCTCTCTCCTCTCTTCTCTCCTCTCTCCTCTCTCCTCTCCTCATCTCTCCTCTCCCATCTCTCCTCCTCTCTCCTCTCCTCATCTCTCCTCTCCTCTCCTCTCCTCATCTCTCCTCTCCCATCTCTCCTCATCTCTCCTCTCTCCTCTCCTCATCTCTCCTCTCTCCTCTCCTCTCCTCTCTTTTTTACAGCTCCTCTGATAAACGGTGAAGTTTTGGCGATTGTTTAAAGAGAACATGCTTTCCTGTGCCGCTGATGGGTTTTTGGGGGTTCAGAGGGTTCAGAGTAAGGTCTGCACTAGAAGTCCTGTCTGAAGGAGCAGTTAGAGAGCTGCTGGAGGACTGCAGGCTGCCCGGCACACCGAGCGCCCTGAGGCTGAGTATGACAGTAATGTCTCTGTGGAGTCCTGGAACGGACCACTCTTATGGTTTCCACCTGTCGTCATGGTCTCAACGGCTTGAAACCAGCTTCTCTGTGTGCGTGTGATGTCACTAGAGAGTTCTCAACAGTGTATTCATGAATCTATATTATATATTGTGTGGAGCAGTCTGAAGATGGATTTTAACACGTGTCAGTAAACACGGCTCCACCCTGTGATGCAGCTCATTCATTATTCACCTCAGATGCTCTTTATAGGTCTCCTCCCTCCGCCTGTATTTCCTCCACCTTGTTAAATATTCATAGTGAGAGTCACACTAAAGGCT